TCTTTTCCCGATGTGGGATTATTAAAAAAAAGTTAGCCAATGGGGATTTTATTAATTGTTTAAAATTTAGAAAATCAAAAAAATTAGAATGAAGATTTGGAGCTCCTAGAAGGCTTCTCACTAAAAAGTCTATTTCCCTTATATAATAGATTATTTAAAGGGTATATTACACTCAACTTTATAAAGTTTTTTTAAAAATATAGTTAATCTTACACTTTTGACATAATTATATTTGTCTTTCTTAAGATTTTAATTCACATAACAATTAGACTATTTTTTATTAGAGTCTGTTAGTTGTGTGAATGAAAAAATGATGTTACATTTTTTCTACTAAAATGCATATTTATATTTCTTTATTTTCATTGTTTCAGTTACTCTAACCTTACTAAATGGGAGATTAATATAGCTATGTCAAAAATATAAGATTAATTATATTTTCTCAAAACTTTCAAAGTAAGTGTAATTTATCCTTATTTAAAATAGGAAAGATAATTGTATAATATCAAATATGCATGTTGATGAAATCTAATTTGATGTTGTGTAGATTATTGCAACAAATTGAAGACAACGTCAATCAGTCAATTAAACTCTCCTTACAAGTTCACAAATTTGTATTTTGATGCTAACTAAAATGAGTAGTTTGTTAATAGATGCGTAATAACGATTGTACAAAAATGATACATACGTTAATTCATAAAAACTGCAAAACCTTGTCAATTTATTGCACATTAAAATCTTTATAATTTGGAAAATAATTTGACTCATAAATAGGTCCTTTTTACCTGAGGATTGGTTACAAATTTTTTTTTTTTTTTTATTCAGAAGAAATTCCATTAAGGAAAGCCAAAAATGGCATTTACAAGGGCCATCAAAACCAAGCTTACACCAAAACAGAGTAAAAAAATTACAAGCAGCGCTTTGGAGAAAAAATATGAAAAATCTACAAACGCACATCATGTACTCGGGCTTATATTGCCAAAAGCAGAGTCGATCAAAATCGACATTAGAGCCTGTCTGAGATAAATCATATATTTCAACCACAAAGTTTGGAAAGCTACAAATCCAGCACAGATGACTGTGCGGTCTCTCCAAACTTTCTCTAATCAAAAAAAAAAAAAAAAAAAAAGACCTCTAAATCAGGATCCATGGCAAACCGGTGGTGGATAGGTGGTAGGAGGAGTAGATTTGATGCCCAACCCACTTAGGAGACGGACGATTCGGCAGATCTGGTAGGGTGGAGGCGGTGCGGATGGAGGACGAGATCGGCAGATCCGGTGAGGCCCTGGTTGGGGAAGTGTGAGAAGAGTGAGGATGAAGAGTAGAGTTCCACCAAGAAGGAGAAAAGGACCTCACATGGAGGGAGAAGTGGAAAGACTTAGCTTCCAAAGTATTATTGAGCCAAAAAGGCAAGAAAAACGAGAGAGAGGGGGGCAGAAAGGAGGGGAGAGGCTGCCAGAGACCGGAGCCCCCCTCCTCCGCCCCGAGCGGCACCTTCAAAGAAACCCTAGGAGAGGTAGAGAGAGAATTTTCGAGATGGATGAATAATTATGTAAATCTGAACTCTTTTATTATATCATTTGTGATGAATTGTGAATTTTAAATTGTTTGTATTATACTTTATACCATTTATTTGTTAAGATATTAAGAATAAAAACAATTATTTGTTGTGTAGATTATTGCAACAAATTGAAGACAACATCAATCAGTCAATTAAACTCTCCTTACAAGTTCACAAATTTGCATTTTGGTGGCAACTAAAATGAGCAGTTTGTTAATAGATGCGTAATTACAGCTATACAAAAAGGGTACGTACGTTAATTCATAAAAATTGCATAATCTTGTCAATTTATTGCACATTAAAATCTTTATAATTTGGAAAAAAATTTGACTCATAAAAAGGTCTGTTTTTACATGAGGATTGGTTACAAATTTAATGACGTAAATCTGAACTCTTTTATTATATCATTTGCAATAAATTGTGAATTTTAAATTGTTAGTATTATACTTTACACCATTTATTTGTTAAGATATTAAGAATAAAAACAATTATTTGTTGCGTAGATTATTGCAACAAATTGAAGACAGTATCAATCAGTCAATTAAACTCTCATTACAAGTTCGCAAATTTACATTTTGATGGCAACTAAAATGAGCAATTTGTTAATAGATGCGTAATTATGTTTGTACAAAAGGAAAATGCTTTATACCACTAATTTAGCACCACTAATGCACCGCTAATGATGTGATATCATGTGGATCCCACCACTGATGTGATAGTTTGGCCTTTGTTTTGTTTTGTTTTTTCTTTCTTTACATTGCCACCTCATTAGTGGTGTTTTTAGAGCTTCAAATTTAGTGCTCTAAATCACCACTCTTGACATATGCTAATTCATAAAAACTGCATAATCTTGTCAATTTATTGCACATTAAAATCTTTATAATTTGAAAAAAAAATTGATTCATAAAAAGGTCCTTTTTACATGAGGATTGGTTACAAATTTAATTATGTAAATCTGAACTCTTTTATTATATCATTTGCAATAAATTGTGAATTTTAAATTGTTAGTATTATACTTTACACCATTTCTTTGTTAAGATATTAAGAATAAAAACAATTATTTGTTGTGTAGATTATTGCAACAAATTGAAGACAGTATCAATCAGTCAATTAAACTCTCATTACAAGTTCACAAATTTGCATTTTGATGGCAACTAAAATGAGCAATTTGTTAATAGATGCGTAATTATGTTTGTACAAAAAGGGTACATATGTTAATTCATAAAAACTGCATAATCTTGTCAATTTATTGCACATTAAAATGTTTATAATTTGGAAAAAAAATTGATTCATAAAAAGGTCTTTTTTACATGAGGATTTGTTACAAATTTAATTATGTAAATCTGAACTCTTTTATTATATCATTTGCGATGAATTGTGAATTTTAAATTGTTAGTATTGTACTTTATACCATTTATTTGTTAAGATATTAAGAATAAAAACAATTATTTGTTGTGTAGATTATTGCAACAAATTGAAGACAACATCAATCGGTCAATTAAACTCTCATTACTAGTTCGCAAATTTGCATTTTGCTAGCAACTAAAATGAGCAGTTTGTTAATAGATGTGTAATTACAGTTGTACAAAAAGGGTACATACATTAATTCATAAAACTGCATAACCTTGTCAATTTATTACACATTAAAATCTTTATAATTTGGAAAAAAAATTGAAAAACTCCATAATCTTGTCAATTTATTGCACATTAAAATATTTATAATTTGGAAAAAAAAATTGACTCATAAAAAGTTCATTTTTACATGAGGATTGGTTACAAATTTAATTATGTAAATTTGAATTCTTTTATTATATCATTTGCGATGAATTGTGAATTTTAAATTGTTAGTATTATACTTTATACCATTTATTTGTTAAGATATTAAGAATAAAAACAATTATTTGAAAATGGATTACCAAACCAAAAATTAATTTATACTATTTTTATATTTAAGTTATGTATTGTATATTGTAAATGAAAATTGTACAAAACAAATTGACATATATTTTTAAATAAAAAATAAAGTTATAAGTAGTTCCATAATGATATTATTTATGTGATATTTTCGATTAATAAAACTATAACACATAAATGAGTCATCATTTTATAATTACTCGTGTCCCATTTGACAATGGATTATTTTAGTTAAAAAGTCAAAAAGCAAGAAAGTCAATTTTTTGTTCAAATTTATTAGGAAAAGAAAAAAAAAAGATTCACCTTGTTTGGTTTTTATTAATTTTCTAAAAATTAAATTTTTTATTTCATCTTAATCTTAAATTATGTCTTAATAGCGACAAGCCATGATGTTAAGCCATCTGGGTAGATGTTAACAATAATTAATCCACAAAATTTCACAATAAAATTTGATATGCATAAGAAATTATTAATTATAAAAACTATTGAGAATAGTAGTATCATAATCACTTAATAACATAAATAACTTGTATCAAACTAAACAAAACATTAAAAAAGAGAAATTTTATAAACTCATAAAAGTTATCATAAATTTACTTGGACTTCTAAATCAGTAGTGTATATTATTATTGTGGGATCAAATTATGAATATCAACTTTTAATTATAATTTATAAGCAGTTTTTTAAAAATTTTAATATATCTTATTTATAAGATTTTGGAGAAATTACAAAAGGTTTGATTATTGTAACAAAATAAATCATAAGTTTTTAATTTTTTTCAATTTTAACCTTAATCATTTTATTTTCAATCTAAACCATATGTATATTTCCATTAAGTAAAATTGACAAAAAAATATATATATATATTTTAAATATTTTTCGTACAATTACAATGAATTTAATTAATAAAATACATATTTTTCCCATTAGATTTAATTAATAGAAATAGACGGATAATTTAAATTAAAAATAAATAAAATTATTTTATTTTAATAATCCAAATTTAGGTCTTATTTGTCATAACCTAAAAAAGTCAAAAAGTCATTATTCTATTTAAGTTACATCATCTTATTTGAGTCACATTACATCTTTATCACATTACTTCAAACCCAACCCATGCTTCATAAAAAGTTAAAAAATATACCTATTTAGATCATCTCAAACCACCCATTAATATGAATACTACTAACCCAGAATAATATATCCAAAATTTATTCAAAAATATCAACATATGATTTAGATCCATTTTACACATAAATCTCGTAATACATAATTTCAATGTTCACCACACACTCATTCTTGGTCAAAATTTGGGACTCAAAATCTGAGGCTAGCTAAAAAAATCATTATAAATTATGGCATTACTTTATTTTTATTTTTTTTACATATATTTGTATAAAAAATTAAAAAATTATTAAAACAGTATGTTACATGAGCCGCTAGAATTTATCTTTCAATGTTTTTATTTTCTTCAATAAATTTTAATTTTTTTTTTATTAGGGACGCAGAGTGGAGCCAGCAAACGCTGAGCAATGCAAAACTCGGCACGTAAAAAGGGGGAGAGGCCTAAACTCGTCTCTTTATTACGCCAGTCGGGATTTTGTGTGTTGTTGACAACACATATCTCTCTTGTCCGAACAAACAAAGCCAAACGGACACACACAGATACATACACACTCACTCATGGCCTCTTCTTTCTTCTCTCTACTACGTCTCAACACCTCTTAAAACCTCCAAAAACCCTAATCACACACACACACACTCTCTCTCTCTCTCTCTTCCTGAATTCCCATCTCAAACTCTTCTCAATTCTCACCCATTTCACTGATCTCTCAAATTCATTCCATCTCAATTCTCAAACACCACACACACGCAAACATATATATTCGTATATATCGAATTTGAAGTAATGTCTGGTTCGGGAGGCTTCGCGGTGTCTCGAACCCACGCCGGAGACCGATTCTACAACCCGCCGGCGATTCGGCGCCACCAGCAGTTTTTGTTGCAGCAGCAGCAGCAACGGTTGCAGAGGCAGTTTCCGACGCCGGTGAAGTCGGAGGCGGCGGTGGTGGAGGCGGATACTTGGACTGACTCGGACGATTCGACTACCACATTGTCGAAACCGCCCTCAGTCTTTTCATCTTCTCCTTCCAGACCGGCGATGAGTGTGACTAACTTGGATCGTCTAGTGGAATCTGTTACTCCCTTCGTTCCCGCTCAATTCTTCTCCGAGGTATGGAAAAAATTAGGGGTTTTTGTTATAAAAATGCCCTGTGCCTTTGTTTGGTTAATGAGAAAATGTAGGGCAAGAATAGAAAATTTTGAATTCTCAACCTTATTTTTATATCGGTCATTCGAGAAAAAAACAAAAACAAAATGGTGTATTTGCTTCAACTGAACTTTACTTTTTAATTGTTGAAAAACCAACTTGCTATATACTCATGATTCAATTTTTATTTTTTATGTACTTACTTCAATTTCTCTTCTTTGACTAGTTCTTTAGTGATGGAATTTTGAAGTTACAGGTAAATGCGAAGGGTTGGAGAAATCGGGAATCTGACATGCAACCATACTTTTGCCTTGGTGATCTTTGGGAGTCTTTGAGAGAATGGAGTGTATATGGTGTGGGGGTGCCTCTCTTGTTGAATTGGGAAGATTCAATTATACAGTATTATGTTCCGTACTTGTCGGGTATACAGTTGTACGTGGACCCAGCGAAGTCTCCTGCAAGGCTTAGGTGAGCCTCTTGATAATCTTTTACTTATATGTTAACCAGTCCATGTTGATTATGTTTTTATTGCGGCCAACTGCATTCAAAATATACTTGCTTTGGTGTTGATGCATATCTTTTCGTGGCTTGTTGACATTCATTGATTATTATGTATCTTTGTACACAAGTTGGTCGTATAATACTAACACCTAATCATTCTTTTAGTAGTTGTGTCTTTTTATCTCCAAGCAGTGATATACTCATCTATTTAAGATTTTTCACCTTGATGTACTATTGTAATTCATCTACCGGCATGCTCCTTGCCATTCTAATATCGACTACAATATGAAGAATGAAACCTAAGGTGTGGCAAATTGGCAATTATGCTTGCCACATAATTTTCCAAGGAGTTGTCTGCTGAGATGCGTGGGGAGACCAGTGAATATGGAATTTCAGATGTCTATATTGTGATGGTTTACTGGGAAATAAAGTGTTTTGTGACAGAGAGGGTTCAGTTCGTATTTTATTTTTTTAACTGGTCTTTTCTTCATTGAATTGTTAAGATGCTCATCAATTCAAAATCAAAGACAATCCAAAGATTGTAATTGGTCATACATGATCACATGGAAAGTGCAACAACTTTCCTGTTCTTTCTTATTGATGAGAGGGAATTTACCATAATTCGCAAGTCATTCTTGAACTAAGAATGAGTTTGAGACCAGTAACTTAAATTTGGCCACATGAATGATAGAAAAGGTATTAGGGGAAACAGAGACAAAGGTGTGGAGGAGCACACCAAGACTAGTGAATCATGAAAGAAAAAGTTTTCTGATTGCATTGAGTTTTAAAATGGTGGCTTGATGATTGTTGTGTGCTAAAAAGGTTTTTATGTTGAGTTCTATAAGGTACGTGGCCTTACAATTGTTTTTCCACGTACAAATGTTTTGTGTATTCTCTGGAATTGAATATGTAATGTGTTGCTTTTTGGCATGAGTCATTCAAAGAACATCTTGGTGGTAACATATGCTGTAACTACCATTATGTGAGGCTTCATCCGCACGTCTCTTGGTCTTGGGTTTTTGCCATATCGTTCATAATTTTGTATTTATGATATGGGCCCTACTTTCCTTGATAATATCCTAAAACGATCTATGGGATCGTTAACCATAACTAACTTTGTCCGGGAAATGGTGTCCTTGGTTAATTACTGCCATAGTCCAGTGCAATAAATATTCTGTTTATGAGCTGGCTACGATTACTACCAAATATGTTATTTTATTTGCTTGTTTGTTTTGATCTTCAAATGAACCTTATATTTGTTTAGCAAGAAATTGCAAGTGTCAGTGAATGTTTTTTTGAGTGTGGCTGCTCAATTTTTTTTATTTTTTTGAGTGTGAAGATGTCTTTTATTTATTTTTACAAATTTAGAGTATTGTTTACAAATTTGTAACTCCGTTTAAGTTCTCAGAAATAATGTAGGACTTCAAAGTGGTCACCTAAGCTTGACCCTTGAAAAAGCAAGGGGTAAGCTCAACATGCTAGCCTGAAAGACTCGTTATCAATTTGGCCATGTTTTCAGGTCTTTCACCCTGGAGCTTCAAGCACAAGTTGCTTTATTTCACAAAACAACTCACACAAATTTCTACCACATATGGTAGTTTTCAACACAAAATCAATTTGCACGATGTAGGGGTGTTCACGCGCCTGTTTGGATAGTTTTTACGCTTGGCTCATCAACTGAACTAACATCATCGGGTTAGGAAATCACTCATCCCTTGTGGACTGACCTACTGTTTGAAATTGACTGAGTCAGGGCAATTGGTTTTGGTGATCGGTTCGGTTGTTTTCGAAGATCTGTTATAGAATGAAGGTGGACGAAAAAAATGGGAAAAAAAAAAGTATATAAAGTTCAAAAGAACAAACCCTAAACTCATATATACAAACAAATCTGCAAATGAAAGAGAATGGAGGGAAGAAAATGGGGAGAAAGGGGGAAAAAGAGAGGGGGCACTCACCATGCCATGTCCATTGCTCATCAACACACTGCCATCACTCAATGCCGCCGCCACCATTGGTAACTGCCATCATCTACCGCCATCGCAAAGGGAAAGATCAAAGATCGAAGATTTGATGGAAAAGAGAGACACAAAGATGGGAGAGAGCATTTGTCTTTGAGTTCCAAGAAAGAGTGAAACGAGAGACCTCCATGATGGAAGCAAGTCTCCAAACTCTTAGTTTTATGCTCTTTTAGGGTTTAGAGTTACTTTTGGAATGAAAAAAAAAATCATATTATAAGAGATTCGTTGAAAAAGGTATCGGTAAGTGGGACACAACTTGTTAACCGTCAGGTACAAAGAGACAAGGCTAACCCAGGAGCCAACAAGCTATCGACACCTGGAGGATCAAAGTTATAAATTTTAATATTTTATCAGTTGGTTTGGGTTGGCTAGGTGTAAATTCCATTAACTTGCTCCCGACTGCGAATTCCAGAAACCACTCATAATCAAATTGCAACCGACCCTGTGATTGTTTGAAATTGACCATGACTATGTCTTCATGAGTCTGTTTGGTTGGCGATTCTCTTGAATAGTGCTAGCACGATGTATACTCAACACACAACACATTTTCTGGGCAATTTTCTTCAATTTTTCATTTCATTCAATTTCTCATGCGAGTTCATTATTTACCTTTTACCATTTCCGCCATTCAAAATCATAACTCAAACACCCACATGAAGAAGTTATTCTCGATTTCGAAGATTTGTTATAGAATGAGGTTGGAGGGAAAAAAAATGGAAAAAATAAGATTCAAAGTTCAAAATAAAAAACCCTAAACTCATATATACAAACAAATTTGTCAGAGAAAGAGAATGGATGAAAGAAAATGGGGAAAAAGGGGAAAGAGAGAGGGGAGACTCAACATGCTACGCCCATTGCTCATAGACACTACTGCCATCACTCAATGCCACTACCACCGTTGGTAACCGCCATTGTCTACAACCATTGTAGAGGAAAGATCCAAGATTGAAGATTGGAGGGAAGAGACAGAGAGATGCAGAGATGAGAGAGAGATTGAGAGACGAGAGAAAGCTTTTGTCTTTGAGTTCCAAGGAAGAGAGATGAGAGACCTCTAAGAGTGAAAAGTCTCCAATCTCTTAGTTTTATGATCTTTTAGGGTTTAGGCTTACTTTTGGAATGAAAATAAATGTGAGATTATGAGAGAGAGAAGTTAAAAAAGGTATAGGAGTGTGACACAACTTGTCAACTGTTAGGTACAAAGAGATAAGGCTAACCGAAGAGCCAACAAGCATTCAACACGTGGAGGATCAAAGTTATAATATGCAATATTATATCGATTGCGTTGGCAGGGTGTAATTTCCATCTCCTTGTTCCCGATTGTGAATCCACGAAATCACTCACAATAATACCCTAACCAACTAGATGGTTGTTTAAAACCGACCTTGTCTTCATGGGTCAGGCTGGTTTGAACGGTTTAAGCAGGTTGGCGGTTCCCATGAACAACAATAGCACGATGTATACTCAACACACCCAACACTTTGACAAATTTTTGAGGCAATTTCCTCCAATTTTTCATTTCATTCAATTTCTATTATGAGCTCACCATTTACCATTTCCATCATTCAAAATCATAACTCAAGCACCCATTACCCACCCAAAAAAAAAAAACTCAAGCACCCACATGAAGTTATTCTCGAATTCCTTATGAAGGATGCAACCAAAATACCCACTCATTTCATGCTTTTAATTTCATCTCAACTAACAATTAAAAATCGTAACATGCCTTAATTTCAATTTAAGCATACATTCCTAACGATCAAGGGTTTGAATCCCAAACTCTAATACCACTAATCTGGTTTTTTCCCTAGACATGCTCAATACCCAAATTTATGCTATCATATGTCGTAAGTCTCAGCAAGAAAATTCTATTACATACATTCATCAACTATAAATCAAGGATTCAACTTCCAACAACATTCTACCATATAAAATGTGCAATAATGTAAAGAAACTAGTGGAAAAACACAATACCACATGGGAAGAGAAGATAATCCCTATCTCAATCAAAGAAGAGAAGAGAGGGAAAATCTAAGAATGCAAAATGCGATGAAATGACAATTTGAAGCAAGAAGGTGGAAACCCTTGAGGAGCTCTCTAACTTTAAGGTCCACTTGCAAATCAACACTAACTTCTTGAAGCTCAAATCTAAGCTTAGAGAAGTAACAATGGTGAAAAAGGGCAAAGAGAGAAGAGATGGAAGAGAGAGAGAAGAGAAATATATATAGAGAGTGAAAGAGTGAATGAGTGATTACATTTCATGCATATAAGAAAAGGAAAAGGTGAAAAAGAGTGGCCCAAAACAAGCCACGTCACTAGAAAATACCTAATTCACGAGCTTCGCTCGGCCAAATCAATACCTTTACTTGGGGGCACCAATTTCAAGTAAATTTTCCAATTTCGAGCTAACTCTCTATGGCCCTCCGGTTGAGCACACCAATACCTCTGACTAATTGCACCACTTTACAAATTTTGTTCTCCTTTGTCTTTTCTACACGAGCACAATACACCCTCCGCCTAGGCGCACAACTCTAGAGAGAGATTTTGGTGTTCTCTCCTGCTGTCTATTCCAAAACTCGAACACCCCACCTCCTACTCCAATTTTAAGATACCAAAAGTATATGAGGTTCAATTACATCTTTCCAACCTTGAAAGCAAGAGGAGATAAATTAACAACTGACTGACCCATAACCGGAAATAAACAACCCTAACTGGGGATTCATTCATTAAAACTCGGGTTTGGAACCAGAACCTTACAAATCTGGTGTCAATTGTCAACACACAATGACAAGACCTGGGATTCATTCTACAAGTCAAATCATAAAATGAATTTTTAATCATTCATGTCCTTCAAGGATGTTTGGCTACGTTCAGATTAAGTGGTTGTTTGGGGTGATCTACTTTAGATCATCTTTTTATCTTATTTGAATCACATCACCTCTTATTTGGATCCCATCACCTCTTGACCACATTGCACAACTTTTCGTAAAAAGTCAAAAAAATATACTTATTTAGATCATTCCAAACAACCCTTAAAGTAACAAACACGTTTTCTTGATTTTTGTAAAAATTAATAATATTTTGTTTTGTTGCTGATAAAAACATAAAAAAGAAAAGAAAAAGTAAGGGATGCATATTGTGCTTAGTTATCCCTTTGTCTGTAACTTTTGATTGTCGATGTCTCTTCAACCATGCTCGATGCTTAATTCTATATGTACCATGTTGTTCTGTGTTTTTTGGGTGAATAATGTTGTTCTGTGTTTGACATGCACCCAACCATTTTGAGTTGTTGTGTAACATAGGCATCCACACATGCTCATATATGATGTGCAAGAATGAGTGGTAGATGGTTCCATTATTGTATATTCTAAAAGATGCAGGCACCAATCCATTTATACACACAGACACTTAAAATAGGCATGCATACATATACAAATGTGATATTTGAAATAATTACTTAACTATCATATACACAAAGCAAAAATAAAAGAGAGAAAAAAATAGATAAAATAAAGTTAAATGGATATTTGAATCTATGTTTTATGCTAATGGTTGCAGTTTTAGGACATTTATTAAGGCAACATGCATCGTGGTTGTAGAAGAATTTCCATGTAATTTTTTTATGAACACTGAAAAAATAAGTTGGAAAATAAGGTGAAATGTTTCTCTGACTCGTAATTTATCAATAATTGACAACTAAAATGAAATTTCTAAAAAAGAAAAAACAAAAAAAAAGAAGAAGCTGAGAATTAATATGAACTGTTAAGGTGTCATTCTTGTGAATTTACCTTTGTTTTGTTTATGTCGGTTAAGCCATGGGATTGTAGATTTGGACGTCCTAGGTTTGATTCCTCCTGATGTTGTGCTTGGGCTGATAAGTTGGGTCTTTTATGTGAGGCTTAAGAAGTAAGGTGCACTCATGGGAGACTCGGAGCTAGTCCTTTTACCTTACCTCCTCCATGCTACGATGATCCTCAAGACATGTGTAATAAGCTTTTAATTAAGGCTTTTAGATAGTTTACTTAAGTTGGCAACAATTAATGCCAAATGGTTTATTGTGGATTTAACATCGGCATACAAAATCCTTTTATATTCTTTCTTTCCCTTTATTTTATATACATGCCATTATCACACATTATAATATACTGCTGAAGTGAACAGATGCATTTTAGAACCTCCTGTTTATATTCCAAGTCATGAGGCCGTTTTCATTGAGCTGGACTTAGTTCTTATGATAAGAAACTTGTGTTAGCTTAGGAGCAAAATGTGTCCAAATTGGAAAAAACCTTTCAATTTTAATTAATTTGTTCATCTTCAAGTAGAATATTGGATTTTGTGATCAAGGAGCATAGTCAAACATTTAACTTTATAGTGGTCTTTAGCTTTAATTCATTACGGGCTTAAGAAAGATATTCTGAATGGCATTGTTGTAAATTTTCTGTATGTTATTTTAAAATTAGTATTTGTGTTTTGAACAAAATAGGAGAGTATATTTAACCTGAATAGATTCCAAGATCTTTCAAATATCAACCATTGAAATATCAAGTGTTTGTAGACGATGATGAGGGTTCAACAAAAAAGGGATTACTGAAATATATACTGCAGATCAGGTTTGCTAAGCTTATTCATTTCCCGACTGAGAAAATCTTGCACTGTGGGTTATGGACCTTATGGTCTCAAGTCCCTTCTGATCTAATTGGGAGCTATTCTGTCAAGGTCGTCGGATTTAGAGGTCTTTTCGCAAGGATCCAGATCATTCCATTGGGGACAAAGCAAAAGTGATCCATATATAGATGAATCGTACTAGTGGATTTGGATGCTGCTAGGTCTCTCACTTGTGGAAAAATAGCTCCCGCATCAGAAAGAGCAGTACCTCAACCAGCCACAGCCACATTAGCAGTTAGTTAAAATCTGATGTTGAATAGGGTGTTAACAGTAAGTTTAGTCTGGCATAAATAAGAAAATGAGAATAAGTTATATGAATTAAGAAAGATGTCAAGGAAAAACTATACATTTTGATACCTTAATTGTGTTGGTACATGGTAGAGCCTCGCTCTGGCTCTGCCTCATATTTTAACTAAACCTTTCCCGCCTCACATGCTTGTTTCTGAGTGTATGATATTTGTATGCATTTTCTTTTATGGATATGTTATATTGTATCAATTAATGCATTTTTTAAAATTTGGTATAGATTTATTCAGTGTGTTTGGTTTGAGTTTTCTAGATTAAGTTTTTTGAAAGCTGAGTTTTTTGGTTTTCGTGTTTTTTTGTTTTTAGTAAATATTTTTTAAATTTTAAACATTTAAAAAATTTGTGAAAAAATATTTTTAAAAATTAATAAATACATAAAAATACAAAAAATGTACTGAGTTCTTGTATTTTTTTTGTATTTTTGATATTTAGTAAATTTTTAAAAGATTTTTTTTACAATTTTTTTACTTTTTAGGTGTATTTATGTTAGGTGCGTCTAAAAAGTAAAAAAATTGCTTAAAATATTAAAAAAATTCAGTAAAAACAAAAAAATACAAAAAATAAGAAAGTAAAATTTTCTGAAAAATGTTTTTTGAAAAATGAAAACAAACAAACTGATTGTTATTTGAGAACTATTGATATTATATTATAGGTGTTAAATAATTATTATATTTTAAATTTGCAAATCTTTGTTTGATAGCCTTAGTCTGTGCTGTTGTTTTATAAGGCAAAGTATGCTTTTTGTTTTCTGTGGAAATTGCATTGCTGATATTTTATCTACAATACAAATAAATATGCACATACATGATTTTTCCTTAAGGATATTCCTTAATACTGTGTTTGGTTGGGGGATCTGGAAAAGGAAAAGGAAAGGAAAAGGGAAAAAGTATGTGAAATGTGAATAAAATATACCTACATTTCACCTAGTTTCACAGACCTTTTCCTTTTTCCTTTTTCCTTTTCAAATCTCTTCCCAAATCCTCCAACCAAACATAGCGTAAAAGGGGCAAAAAAAGAAAGCCAGGCAGGCAAAGCTTGAACACGCAGGTGACCTACAATAGATTCTCTTTTCTTCTTATGTATGTCTAAATGTTTTCAATGAATGCTGCTTAAGCTATTCAGAATTATTCATAGATGCTTATGAAGCATCAATAGGCATATTTTATTGAATTGTATTCAATATCTAGTCATTTAACTATAATTTTGGTAGAGTATAATATTTTTCGAAGTTATATTCATTCATCTCGATATAGGAAATATGTCTGGTGGTTGACTGATGCTTTTAGTTTTGTCAAGGTAGCTACTTTTCTCTTTGTGCTTTGGCATTAACATTTCTTCCCCCTCTTCCTTATCTGATTTTAGTCATTCTTTGCCATCTTTTATTGTTTATTTTTTCTTTTACCAATAAATATTAACTCAAGTGGACAATGGGAGAAGACTGTGTACTTTTTAATAGTTTGAAATACCCAAGGTCAATTTTGTTTCAGCTTAATGTGTATTTTGATACATCCTTTTTTTGGGTGTGTTAGAGTGGCTCATAGGTAGGTAGGTGTGATACAACCATCAAGGTATTAGATGTCTTGGTCAAGCCCCATTTCTATTAAGACTGGTCTGAGTGGTCCTCACCCTGAGAGGGAGCTCGGTGTGTGCCTGGACAGTCCCTTCAACACTAGCCTCTAGTCCACAAATTCCTTGGTGGTCCTTCCTGAGTGAGGTTCCTAGCTCCTGCTACCAGTCAGAGCATAAGCGACGCATCTTGATTCTTTGAGACTCTGGGCTGGGCCTTGCTTAGTGTGGATTGCTGGTGAGCCAGGCGACCAAGTGAGCCTAACGTAGAGCAGTGCCTGAGACCTAGTGGCCTCAGCAAATGCGAGCCCAGTGATGGTGCTCAATCTAGATGATTGGTCCACATGTCGCCTCACAGGGTCGACATGTGGCATGCAAGGGTTGTAGGAGCAGTCACTAGAGGTGATGTGGCAACAATGTGGATCTGACATGTGGTGGGCTTGACTCATGTACCTACGTTTATATTAGTAACCTAATTGCCTGAGTTAATTAGGTATGTCAACGAAAAAGGTTGAATTGTAGGATGACGTAATACATGTCATTTGATTGTCTTGTCAACTTTATGATCTCATTCAGATGTCTCAAGTGGCTAAGCAAATTGACCTATGTTGCAACTTGCTAGTTCACCAGTGAGCCTTATTCCTCAACATGCATTTTGAGCCTCATTGTTAGGAGAAATTGCATTGGTTGGTTGAATTGGAAAATTTATTGGTAACATTGGCGGTGTTTGGGAACCTTTGAGTTAGGCTATTGTCCCCTCAAATGGCAAAAAAACCTTTTAGCCTCACCTAACCCATTGATTTAAAAAATAATAATAATAATTGAAAAGCAGCGGCTGTCCATCAGCACAGCAGCCTACACTGTCACCAACAGTGTAGGCTTCAGACAGTTAAATGACGATTTTACCCCTATTGATCGATTTTGGAAAAAATAAGGTTAGGGGCAAATTTGTCATTTCAACTTTAAACATCATTTCAAACACATTTTTCAATACAATAATCGACCCAAAAATTTAACCCAACTTCCCAAACACAAAAACTAAAATAGCTTACTAAAATAGCCAAAAAGTCTAAAAAAAAGCCACTTCCCAAGCACCCACATTAGCAACTTGCGTTCATGCAAATTTTATTATATGCTTGTTGCATCTTATGATCATTTGTTTATAAATCTACCAGGAGGCCTGGTGAGGAGAGTGACGCTGGTAGTGGAGGTAGCAGCGACTGTGAAGCAGATAGACGGGCCCAATATGATGGGTCATGGAGTCAGCATAACCTCATGAACTTGAACTCCCACCGAATGTACAGACTCTCTTTGAGAGATAAATCTCTTGTGAGCTCATCCAGTGACGAAGCAGAGATCTGCAACTCACCTGGGATGCTCATATTTGAATATTTGGAACAGGAACAACCACATAATCGCAAACCTCTAACTGATAAGGCAAGCTCACTTCTTGGAGATTACTGCATTCTGGTTGATTTCCATTAATTTGCTTGTCCTGACATGAAACTCATTGCACTTTCGCCTTTCATCCCCACAGATTACAGTGCTCACATCTCAGTTTCCGGAGCTTAGTAAGTACAAGAGCTGTGATCTACTGCCTACAAGTTGGGTTTCTGTGGCTTGGTATGTTATTTTGCAAAATTAGAAAATATGTGTGTTGCAGTTTAGAATTTCATTCCATTTATCCTCGCACTGATTCTTTTATGGTAAATAAATCTTGCTTGCAGGTACCCAATATATAGAATACCTATGGGCCCAACACTACGGGATCTGGATGCATCTTTTTTGACCTTCCATTCTTTGTCAACACACTCTAGAAGTATCTCTCTCTCTCTCTCTCTCTCTCTCTCTCTCTCTCGTTAGAAGCTAAAAAAGCTAATGTGTTTGGGAAGTAGCTAAAGCAATTGTTTTTTGTGAGTGGGAAAGTGGAGCTGTTTTTTGGCTTTTTTAGTCAATGACAAACAGACTTTTCAGCTTTTTAACCAGCTTTTTAAGCTGCATCTCAAACAAGCTCTCAGTGTCTGTCAAAGTTGCACTCCCATATTCTCTTGTGATGTATTTATTTTTTTGATATATGTATTGCTACTCTTACAGGCAATGGTCAGGTGCAGTTTCATGGTGCAAGTGGTGGGAAGGTACATGGCGGTGTTGATGCATCTTCAAAGCTTTCTCTGCCAGTCTTTGGCCTTGCTTCCTACAAGCTGAAAGGTTCAATTTTGACTCCAAGTGGACCCTACGAGTGCCAGCAAGAAAACTCTCTAATGCAAGCTGCCGGCAATTGGCTCCAGCGTCTGCATGTCATTCTTCCTGATTTTCAGTTTTTTCGTTCTCATTACTCACAGTGGCGATGATGGGGTCATGTAGTGCCTTTCAACACCTTTCTTTCTCTTTCAAAGGGTCTTCGAGGTCAGTTTTGGGAATGAACAATGTCAAATGCTAACTTTGCTAGGAAAACCCTCGTTGTCTTCACAGCTTGGTTGAATATTGTGCAGTGTTGTTTAGTTCTTCTCATCTTATAGTATGTAAGCTTTCTCTTAGAGTATAGAGTTCACAGTATCAGGTAAAAAATGCTTATGGTTCAGCCAGGCTCTGTGAGCCATCAGTTAGGTTTTGGGCTGCAATGCACCCTGAAATCCAGATGGCCTCTCGCTTATTTTGTTGTGTAAGGTGATAGAAACTGTTGATGATCTTGATATGTTGGTGGAACCACCAATTCTGTTTAGTCAGTGTTCAGAGAAACTCGACAATTGTCTGAGATAATGATGAAAATTTGTACTTTTAGTCTGCACATACACAGCTATACCCAGTTAATTTCAAAACAGGTTTCTTTCTTTCAAAATGTTTGTTGCCTGAATTACATGGTTGCTTTAAATTTGCATTATTGTTTCCAAATGTGATAATTGGTTGATTTATGATGTAGGTTTTTAGTTGGAATATATGATTCATAATGTCCAGAGCTTGCAAAGCAAGCTTTCTTTCTTTTTTTAGATAGTGCAAAGCAATCTTTCAAAACATCCATTTTAACCAACCTATCTGATCTGATTGAGGAAATGGTTGATGTGTTGCATGTTGCTTTTAGGGCGATTAGTTGTTCTCTTACAATAATTTGGTCTGGTGGATGTTATGAAGGACGTATGAGGGTCTCAGTGGAAAAACTACTTGTCTAGTTTTTGTTGCCGGTGGATTGCTTTAGTGAACTGAAATCTTTGTTGTGAATAAGCCGAGTTTGTTTCTGTTAAGCTTTTGGGACAATCGGTGATTTAACATGGTATCAAGAAGTCTTAGGTCCAATCTCATCTATCTAGTTTTCTATCATTTTATACCTTATTTTTTCAGTCTATTTGTCTCTCCATGTTTGATATGGGGTTTCACGCGAGTGTTAGTTGGATATACATTATTAAGTTTATTTTTCTTTTCTTTTTTTTGGGAGCAATTGGTGATCAAACAGGTTGGTTTGGTTTTGGATTTTATCGCCATGTGAATAGGATCCCATGTGAATGAAAGTGTTAGTTTGATATACATTAGTCAATGTTGTAAAAATTAAGATTTTAGAATAATTGATTATCTAACAGGTTTGTTGGTTACTGAGTATGGTTTCACGAATGAACTGTACGAGTATAGTTTTTAGTGATAAATACGTTTGAAATCGAGCACCGGCGTGATTCAGGTTGGTTTTAAAATATACACCTAAACTCATTTACAAATATCTTTTGGTGTACGGATGTACAAAGGTCCAAAAATTACTTTACAAAGAAAATATTTGACCCCAAATAGGTTGAACACAACTTACTGAATTCAACTTTCGTATGCAATTTTCTATAATTTTATGGGTAAACTTTATTTTATCCCCTTGTGGTTTGGGCTGGATGGAGATTATTCCCTGACATTCGGAAATTACTACATAACTCCTATGTGGTTTATGGACTAAAACGCATACTAACTTCTGTTAACAGAATGTATAAATTTATTTTTATACTCCAGTCTTGTTCTTCTTCTCTCTTTTAAACCTGTAAATATACATATATATATATATATATACACACACAGAGTATCCATGAAATGGAGAGATCCTTCAATTACCAAAGAGTATCCATTTTTCATTTTTCATTTTTCTATCTTTTTTCAGTGCAGCTTGGCTAGCAATGTCTCATCAATAATTGTCTTATTCTATGAGTATAGGTTGTCTCACTCTGAGTTTAGGTTGTCTCCTTTTCTGTTTGTCCATTTTTATTTGTTCATGTAATGAACACAAATTTTGCTTGCAGTGACATTGATTTTACGTGTTTGTTCTTTCCAACTGGGCCTTTATTGCTAGTCTTCTATATCCAAATTCCATTTCCAAAGCTCAATCCAACTGGGTGATCCTGATTCCTAAAATCACAAAATTGACTTTTTTTTGAAGAATCAAACTCCATTTAAACACTGTCAATTAAAAAGATAAACAATTAACTACCAAAATAGCAATAAACAAATTTCTGATTTACTCTGCCAAAATGTTTTCGAAAAGCAATCAAACAAATAGGTGCTTACTCACTGCTTGTCTCTCTCTCGCTTAACAACTTTTGCTACAAATTTGGGTAAAGAAACTGAAATGAATCAACCAATTGGGACAAACAATAGCAATCAAAATGAGTTTGGATTTGTATATCTGAACTGGGTTTGTATATAATCAGAAAAATGGGTTTGAATTTGTGGATTTGTTTACAACAAATATGATCTCTCTTCATAGTAGAGACCCAGATTGGATTGACTGAAGATCATGAACACTCCTGATCTAGAGTTGGAGCCCATTGATGGAGATGGAGCATCTTGAATCAAAAAGCATCTTTGGCAGCTTGATATCACCATTTTCTTTGCTGTAAGGTTAGTTCTAATCAGGAAAAAGGGAGGGTTGGAGAAACAACCTTGGTCGTTCTGTGAGAGAGGAGGACGAGGAAGAATGGCAAGCTTTTGTAAATTTAAAGATATGCAGGGGGTATTTTGGTCATAAAACATAATTCATTCTCTTCATGGATATGTGAACCTCACAATCCGTTAATTTGGATGAAATAGCTAACTATGCGTTTTAATTCACAAATCACGTGAGGGTTATATGGTGATTTTCAAATGTTAGGGAATAATCTGCATTCGGTCCAAACCAAGGGGTAAAATGAGATTTGTTCTAATTTTATTATACAACATTTTACATTTCACATGTAAATAACCTGAGTAACTTGGTGTCACTTATTATAAATTAAAAATTAAAAACACCTTTCATTTAATTTTTAGATAATTAATTTTTTTTTCCAATTTATTACCTAATGAGTTATAGACAAAAACTACATAAAACAGTTTGACACAAATAAAATAAAGTATAAACAATTCATATAAGCCAATGTTTTGAAAACCAAACCAATAAGCAAATCGGAAAAGTTAGCGAGTAGATGGGTCATTGATTTAACCGCGGGTGAACAGGAATCAAGTCGTAATGTCATAAATAATTTTATAATATATTTGTAAAATAAATTAAGTTCAAAGAAAAGAAAAAGTATATATATAAAATAAACCGACTAAAATAAACGTAGGGGTGTTTTGAGAACTTGGCTTTTAGTCATTTTTTTTTGATTTATAGCAAAAGTTAAAAGTTGACTTTTTTTTTTTATATTTTTTTTCACTTGGGAAGTTAGGGGAGCTTCTATTTACACATCTCCCTTCCCCTCTTTGCACACATTTCATAAAAATTATTTTTATTATAATTTTTTTTAAGTAAAATTATTATTATGGACATCAAATAAACACATTCAGAAGTTGAATGTCGAAAAAATGATAAAAATTCAGAAGTCTACTTCCGAACCAATTGTTCATTTTCGGAAAGCTACTTCCGAACTAATTGTTTATTTTCGGAAAGCTACTTCTGAACCAATTGCTTATTTTCGAAATGCTACTTCTGAATCAATTATTTATTGAAAAAGATGTGTATAGAGTGTAATGGGTGTGTGCACATAAAAGCTCCCGAAAGTTAATTTTTCGCCACTGGTGAAATTACAATTCTACCCCTCATAAATCAAAATGTGTTACATGGGTGAAGTTATAAATATTTTAAATTGAATGAGGGTAGTTTAATCATTTTATTGTGATTTGATATTACAAACAAAAGTCAAAAGTAATTTTTTATTAACTTTTCAAATCATTTGTTTAAAAAAATCAAAGACTTAATTAAAAGTTAAAAAATCACTTTTTATTAATTTTCCAAAATACGCCTTATAATACAATTATTTTAGTATTAAACGCGATAGATTCATGAATAGCTTGTGGTTAGCATTTACAATACATTTCTAAAGGTTGGAGATTCGAATCCTTTTACAGCACATGATATATTATCATATTTATCTACATCTCTCACTTAAATTTAAATATAATAATATATTTTTTTATGCTACTTGGCAGGCAGCTCGATATCTTCTGCTTAATTTTAAGGGCAAATTATATATACCTTTTAAGATTTAGTAAAATTATAGATATTTCTTGAGATTTAAAAAATTACAGATACTCCCCTGAATGAACTATTTGCATAACAAATTAGGGGGCAAATTGTTATGAAAATATAAACATCAGAGATAATTTGTTATGAAAATATAAACCTCAGGGAGGTATTTGTAATTTTTAAAATCTCAAGGGGTATTTATAATTTAGGTAAATCTCGAAGGAGACCTATGTAATTTGTCCTAATTTTTAAAAAGAAAATTAACTTTAAACGTAAGTTAAACAAAATAAATTAAAACTTCAAATATCAAAATAAAAAAATAGTACATAATAAAAGTGATAAAGTTTAATTTGTCCTTTAACTTTCGAGCCCCGTTTGGGTTTTTTTTTTTTTTTTTGAAATAAAAATAGTCAAAAAAAAAAGATAAAATATCCAATCATATCACTATATTTTTATTCTTCTTTATATAAAAAATTTAAAAATCAATTAAGAACTATTTGACATAAACTAAGGCCTTGTTTAGGGTACTATAAAAAAGTCAAAAAATCACCATCTTATTTAAGTTACATCATCTCTTTACCACATCACTTCAAACTCAATCCATACCCAATTCATATTTCACAAAAAGTTAAAAAGTATACTTAGATAATTTCAAACCACTCCTAATTAAATACACTTATTTTGATCACATTATCTATTTATTTTTTATATTAAAAATCAAAAAATATAATTTTTTAAATTATCTCAAATAATCCCTAAAATATCTTATTCCCGGGTGGGCTAACGCACTTTTGATTGGGGGCGGTGATGAATGTAGAATATGATAAGGATAGGGCAATATTACGGGCGTGGTTAGCGTTGTATTCCCGCAACGAAACAGTTTCCATCTTATCCTGGAAAACCTTATCCCACCCCCAAACCTTGCCAGATTCCTCACCAAAATTTCATCAAACTCACACTCGCTCCATCGCCGCTCGATTGGCAAATCTTTCCAATTCTCGACAAGGTTCGTTTTCATAATCTCTCTCTCTCTCTAACATATTCAAAGTTTAATGGTTTGCAATTCTGGGTTCGTCGTTGGAACAACAAAGTATTATTATTATTAGTTTAATTGAAATTCATAATTTTCTTTGAAATCGGGTTGTTATTGTTTTGAGTTCCATATCTTCGACGATGGTATCTGGTTTTATTTATTTATAAATTTTATTTCATTAATTTGTTTTGGAGTGTATATCTTTAAGCTTTTAACCATGGAGATTTAAGTCTGTTGTTTGTGAAGGTTGCTGTTGGAAGTCTCACTTTCAATTATTCTTGGTTTTGGGGGTAATTTTAAGTTCAAACAATGTACTTTTTTCTTTATGGGTCCAATCCAATCCAACAATGGACTTTCCATTTCAGTATTTGTGGCTCTCAATTATAAAACCCATAAAAGGATTTTGTAAAGTTTTGTTACCAACCACTCTATATTGTGCTTGCCTGAATTATATAGTTGCCATTATAGTCTCAACCCTTAATTTGAGTAAAACCTTTATTTGATAGGTAAACTCATTTTAAGTATAAATAAATGTGAGTACAAGTTTCAGTAGTGGCAGAATTGTAAATGTTGCAAGCACAAATTGGCCTTGAAATTTTTTAGTAAATCTTCGAGTCTCCCTTGATTTGGATAAAAAAAAAAGAAGGTAAAACTCAATTTGCTATAAATATGAGTCAGAGTGGAGAGGTTTTTGAGTAGTTTTTTTAACCCAAGTTTTAATATGATATAGGTTTGAATAAAGGGTTGGAGATGGGGGATTTGGTGGGAAAAGAAGAGAAATTAAAAGAAAGTGAACTCTTTATCATTTGTTTGAATGATTGAGGTGGTGAAAAATTAATGTGAAAGAGTAGAGAAATGATGAGGAAAACTAATCAACTTAAAATTCATGTTCCTTTTTTTTCAGAAAAATCAGTGAGATTTGGTGAGAAAAAAAAGGCTGCTGAATATAATTTTTTATTTATTTATAATATTTAAATTGCCCATCTAAATGCAAAGCAAACAACTAAAAGACCATTGTATCTTCTTTTCTTTCTATTCGTCTCCTTAATGAGAAATCATAATCGTTTTCTTTCTTTTCTAACCTAGTTTTCTAAACGGTCTTTGATTTTAAAAGAGATGAGTATTAACACTACTTGATGGTTTTGAGCATCCCTGTTATATGAGGTGGGTCCCACCGGTATTTGTGTCTTCCTATATCCCGTGTTTGGTTGTTCCGGATATAGGGATTCCGGATAGTATATGATGCAAAAGGGAGGATATGCAATACCACTCCCCCCATGGTGTTGTATATTCCCCATCGTTGGATATAGCTCATCTTTCATCCAAAGGTAAAAAATAATTACTCTCTTCTTATCCGATCCTATATCCTATCTTAACCAAACATAGTATAAGTGACCCCCTGTATATATAATACATCTCATATCCTACAACATATTATATCCCATATTTATCCTTAGGTATTACATATCCTCCTGAAATCCTTATATCCATATTAGATACAGCTAAGAGCTCGATGGGGAACCAACAAACAGTGTAAGATAGAGGGAGTTTTATCTAGTTCTGCCTGCCAATTTTGTTGCCAGAATATTTGATTATTTGTGTCTTTTTAATATCATGTATCGTTGAGAAGGTTGATTGAATACATATATGTATGACAATTTGTTGTGGTAATTTTGTTGCTCATTTTGCTGTTGGGATTTCATATCTCTGAGGATAATGGACTTTTGTTTATTTTTGATACTCCTATTGATACCTTCTTTTAGATTGTAGGAAAATGGGTATTCGTGGACGAAGTGGTAGTGATCGCCTGAGGACAATTTGGACACCAGAAATGGATCGTTATTTCATTGACCTAATGCTAGAGCACGTCACCAAGAGGAATAGGATAGATGATCATTTATTCAGCAAACGAGCATGGAAGCACATGACATCATTGTTCAATGCCAAACTCAAATTCCAATATGAAAAGGATGTTTTGAAGAATCGTCACAAAACACTGAGAAATCTCTACAAAGCCATAAAAAACCTTCTTGACCAGAAAGGGTTCAGCTGGGACGAAACACGGCAAATGGTGACAGCTGATAATAAAGTTTGGGACGATTATATCAAGGTGCAGTTTTAAATATTTCAGAACTTGATTTGGTTGAGATTTCAAGAACTGTTCTGTTTTGTTTTTGTTTTTTTGTCTTTGCAAAAAACTAAAATCTAGTTTGTAAAATATGTGAAAAATTAAAAAAAAAGCACTTATCATTTTCATATGACTTTCTCTTTTTTGGGGAGAAAATAATATTTGAAAGTTCTAAAAAAAAAAATTGGTGCTTACCACCATCAAACTAGATTATTTTCTTAAAGAAAAAAAAGGAAAGAAAAGAAAGCAGTTTTTGAAAACTCAACCAAACATAGGAAGATTTTTCATATTTATTCCTGGATTCTTACAGGTTAATCTGCAGGTACACCCTGAGTCACGGTCGTACAGGATCAAAACCATCCCATACTATAATGAATTGTGCGTGATATATAGAAATGCAACTGTTGAAGGAAAAGCTAGCCTTTCTAGCGAAAACGCTAACATTGACAGAAATATACGTGGATCAGAAATTGGTGGATCGTTGGAAGGTTTAGAATCTCAAGCTCCTTCTGTTGGTGATGGAGAACTAGGTGATAATACGAAGACAGAATTCACTCCGCCAAGTAGTGTTAGTGAGGGAGCTGTGGCGGTTCTTCATGAAATCCTGATTGATGAAGACTATGGCACGTCTATGTCAAAAGCCAGTGACAATTTGATGCCGCAATCTATAGTAGATACTGGCTCGAGGATTGGTACTCGTTCAAGGACTTATTGGCAACCACCAATGGACCGTTATTTCATTGACCTCATGCTAGAGCATTTGCAGAAAGGGAATCAAATTGATGGTCTATTTCACAAACATGCGTGGATGGAGATGATTGCCTCGTTTAATGCTAGGTTTGGCTTTAAGTATGACATTGAGGTTTTGAAAAATCGATATAAAACTTTAAGGAGGCAGTATAATGTTATAAAGAATCTTCTTGACTTGGATGGGTTTTTCTGGGATGAAACAAGACAAATGGTGGCGGCTGATGATTGTGTCTGGCAAGATTATATTAAGGTGTGTATCCTATTCTTTTGTTTTTTTCAAAATCACCCCTTCTACGACATTTTAGATAGGATTTTATCAGGGCCAACGGGATTTTGATTTTGTTCTTCACAAGTATCAAAAGTACCTTGTTAGTTCATGGTTATAACAAATAGACAATACTAAATCACTGGAATCATAAGTTCATGCGCACACACAAACACTTGCATAGAGTGTATAACAAATAGACAATACTAAATCACTGGAATCATAAGTTCATGCGCACACACAAACACTTGCATAGAGTGTCAAGAAACAGTTCTTTTCGATATTAGACGTTAGATTACTTTTGTGATCTTAAGAATTTACGTTGGTTAGATCTATCACTGCCTCTAATCAGTTTCTGTTTTCCAATATGTTTACTTACCCCCCCACCCACCCCCTTTGTTGACCCCCCATTTTAATCAATTCATCGCACAAAACTAAGATCTTTGGACCTGTGGTGCCCAAACGCACTCAAGGGTTGAAAATTTGGGCACTTCACCCCCTTTCTTGTTTTTCTTCTTCTTTAGTGATGGAGTCTGCTGTTTTGAAATGGAATGATCAACCTATTCCAGGCTGAATTTTTGAAGCATTTAAATGCAATGCAAAACAATGAATCAAAATGATTTTATTTCTACTCTTCTATAAGATTTGAAAAAACCTCCATCTTGTATATAATTTCCATGTAATTTTGGTGACAGTGATGATTCCATTTTTACACCCACAATTTTCGATTTTCATTACAAATCCTGTTCCAACGAGGTCTACATTAATAACATGCAGGCACATACAGATGCACGACAATACATGACCAGACCAGTGCCATACTACAAAGATTTGTGTGTTATATGTAAAGAATTGAGCAGTGATGGAAGAGACTCTCACTCCGGTCATAATTTAAGCCAACAATATGAAGTCACTGAAATCAAATTTGATAGATCATTTAAGGCTTTCGAATCTCCAGTTGCATCAGTTTCTAGTGATGATCAAGTTGGTGATGTACAGGAATCCTCACATGTGGGTTTCAAAATCAGTGGCTCTGATCAAAAGAAGCATCACTTAGAAAACCTTCCATACCCTGCACATTCCAAGAAAGCACGGGGCAAGGATGAGGGCATGGCTAGCGCTCTTCGTGAGATGGCAACTGCAGTTTCTTGTTTGGCAGATAAGAAAAAGGATGATGAGGAATCAAACTCAATCTCTGTAGAGAATGTGATCGAAGCAATCCAGGCTTTACCCGACATGGATGAAGAACTTGTTTTGGATGCTTGTGATTTTTTGGAGGATGAAAAGAAAGCGAAAACATTTTTGGCATTGGATGTTAAACTGAGAAAGAAGTGGCTGATTAGGAAGCTTCGTCCGCAACCGTTGTAGAGAACATTTTTGTGCAGTTGGTTCTGTAGAGCATTTTTCTGATTGATATGAACTGGCTTTGCTGTTCACCCTGTAGTGAAAATTAATGAAATAACAAATGTCTTGATAGTGAAATTTGTTTTTATGGTCCATTTGTTGTTTTTGTTTCTTCAGGCTTAAAAGTCTTGTTTGGCTTAGCTTATTTGCTTCTCGGCCAAAAAATTTAGGTTGTGTTAGGTGAGGCTCTGTAATCAATTTTCCACCCACTGATTTGAATGCTATGTTTAGTTTTAGTTTTCAAAAATTATTTTCACACTTGCATTTGAAAACTCGTTTACTCGGTAATCCCTCTAGACGTTCTCCCGGTTGACCGGAATATTTTTTTTTTTTGTTTTTGTTTTTTTGTGGCACTTGCTATTTTTATATTTTAAATAAAAATATTTTCAGAATTTTTTTAAAATTTTTTATGAGTTTTTAATAGAATTTTGGATTATATATTTGGTTATAAGTTGTAAGTTTTTGAATTAAATATCGTGTCACATTAAAATTTTTAAACTCAATTCAAAACTCTCTTCAAAACCCATAACGAAATAAATTTTCCTCATTCAAATCATAATTCTAAAACCCACAAACTCAAAATACAATTTTATATCAAATTTTAATTCTAAAATTTTACCAAACACTACGTTATATATATATATTTTTTCTTTGCATGTGGCATGAGACATGAGACTTGTTTAGGTGAAAATTTTAAAAATTCTACTTAAGTCATTTTGTTGTCGTCGTTATTTAATTTGATTTTACTATTTTGTTCTACAAGTGTGAGAAGATCATTTATATAAAAAATGAAAAAGTAGAAACATTGAAGGGCAACCTACACAATTTGCAATGAAAATCTATGAAAACCAAAATTTGAAAGTTGACTTCTTAAATTATGCCAAACATGTTTTTTTAATCTTGGCTTTTCACTTGACTTTTTTCGAGAGTTAAAAAAGCAGCCCTGCCTCCAAACCACAATGATCCCAGCTCTCCGTCTAAACTCTCCCCCGAGAATTATTTAACTGACTAACAATGAAGTCTAACTGTTACAATGCTCAATCTGAAGGAAGAAAAATAGAGGCCGTGTTTGGTTGTATTTTTAAATTAATTTTTAGCAGGTGAATTCTCCCTTGACGTTTGGATAGGACACTCAAAATATGATTCCGCGTATTAATTCAAATTACGGTTTGAAAATCCGTTTCGCATCTCGTAGTTCATTTCTCCGCTTTCAACGTGTCTGTCTTCTTCCTCTTTTGCTCTGAAAAGCTTCCCCTTCCTTCTCCATCGTCTCTGAAAATTTCCCGTGACCCTCGTCTTTCTTTCTCTTTTGATCTGAAAAGCTTCCATGCCTTTCTCTATCGTATCTGAAAATTTCGCGTGAACCTTATATTTTTTCTCTGTATCAAACATCAGACATGGAAGCTTCGACTATCTGATAAGAAACTGAGTGGGAGGTGTGAGATGGGATGACCGGCCGGTTGACCTCCCGGTTGTCCCGGTCCGACTTCCTACTCCTTGACTATCTGAACCTAAGGTTCAGAAGGTTCATGTTATTTTTATTTTTTTTATAGATTTAAATGAAGAGGGACAAAATAGTAATTTTGCAGGCCAATTGACCCCAATTATATGAGCATGCCGATTATGGAAGTACAATAATGCTCCTTCAATAATGCATGGTCTGGTTTTGTACTCCTTTATTAGTAAATTAATAACGTGTAATAAATGAGAAAAAAAATTGATAATGTTTTGTAAGATTTACGTTATGATTTGTATTTTAAAATATTACACTTAGTGTATTTATGTTAATTTTTATTAATATGTATTCTCAAAAGTTATTGACTTTAACAAAATTTTTAAAAAATATATAAAACGTATTGTAGAAGATGTTTGTACAGGCGTAAAAAATGAATTGATAGAAAATTTAATTGACACAAAATAATTGACATAGATTTATTTTAAAATGAAAAAAAAAAATTGAAAAAAAAAGTATTCAAAAAAAATTACTGAAAAAAAATTAATTGAAAAAAAAAATTCAATTTTTAATTTCAGTATTTTAAAAATAGTTTGGTTATTACTGTTGATAAAAAATACGGATATCGATATATAAGTCTTTTGTTTGATTATAAATTATTGATTGAATTATGTTTTGAAAACTATTTCCAAAACACATCACTAAACAAATTTTCTTATTTCACATGTCACATCAAATTTTCAAAACTTAATTCAAAATACATATTCAAAACACATTTCAACACTCTATTTAAAAACCATAACCAAACAAATTTTCTACACTCAAATCATAATTCCACAACACACAAACTCAAAATATAACTCATACTCTCAAATCACATTTACAAAACTCTACCAAATGCAACCAGAGACTTTCACACAATTATTGATTTTTACAAACCAATTGGACAATTTGATGGAATTGAGAATCTCCGAATCTATGCTTTATTTTCAACTTCCACTGATTATTACAAACCAATTGGACAATTGATGGAATTAGAGAATCTCGAGATCTATGCTTATTTTCAACTCCCTGATGTATTTCATCACTTACTATGCTCTTCCTAGTTTATGGGTGCCTAGGCAATGAAGCGCATAACGGAAATGGCAGCTTATCCAGAAAATGCAGTGTATGCTATCAAATTAGTCAGCCTTGGTTTGGATTGACAAGAAATTTGTCGACAACTATTACTTGTCTTGCATCGACACCATAAAAAATAAATAAAGGCCAGAGTCAGATATATATATATATATATGGAGTTACAATATTAATATATATATTTATTAAATTTTCCAAACAAGGAGAGATGTGACATTATAGCTGAAACAAGTAGAGCTCTAGAGCATTCAGCCTGTCCTAGAAGAAAATCCTATAGAAAACAAAATGTGAAAATGTCTATGTTAGCTCAGCTTGGTCACATCTTTCCATCATACACAACAGCTCTGACAACACTTCATATATGGCCTAACTAATTACACTGACTTTGTAGCATTTTCATTCAATTCAGTTTCTACATCTAGCCTCATTCATTCTCCCCCAATTAAATTTATCAGTGTTTCGAGCAGGCTACTATGGATTCCCGGTTAACAGTTAAAGTCGAGACCTGTGGTTGCACTATTATTTCATTCACAAGTCGTCTTTGAAGATGGTAGAATACAGTAGCCCTTGTACAAACTCACACCTCTGGGCCTTCTCTTCCTGGTCCTTGTTAGATAAAGGAGACGGATCAATGTTTCTGCCACCACATAAAACCATCAGAAATATTTATAATATAAGAAATCTAATATGGTTACAATAATAGTAAATACAATATTATTTATAGTATAAGTAGTGTAAATTATCAAAAAGTATAAACATCGGGAACTGACATGTCTATTCAGAAAGGCACAAGTACGACAGGTTATTTTCAAGCAGACTAAGCATCTAACAAAGTAACCACAGGAAAGTAAGATCTGGAACAAACAAAGGAATTAGAAATCATTGCAAGCTACATTGTTGTAGCTCAAACCAAAATAGAGTTATGCTGAGGATCCCAAATAATCAATCAATTTTTCTACCAAACCTCTCACATGGATGTGGGACCTACACCCATGTGAGAAAGACATGGAAGTGTAACACGGTCATACCTAGCTTTACCAAGCTTGGGATAATAAGAAAGCAAGACCTGAACACATTAAACAACGGTTTTTCATTGTGGGCAAATAATTTTTCCTCTTCTACTTACAATGAGAATTATAATGTCAATGACAACAATAAGATGGTGTTCAGTGAATTTATCTCACTCACAAAAGTCCATTAATTGACTGCAAATTCGCAGCATTTCTTCTTCTTTATTTTTTATTTTATTTTATTTTTTGTCATGGTCTGCTAATGATAGCAGTCATCCTCTGTAACAAACTACATCCAAACCCTCTTCAGCATTTCTACATCCTCTATAGCTTCATAACCTAACCTATGCTCACTTCTCAATCAAAACCAAATAAGTGTGCTCCCATAGCTAGTAAACTTAAAACCAAGTATGCACTTAGCTAAGAACAGCACTGACTACAACTACCTTACTATCTAATAAAGACACACCAAAACATCTCAATGTAGTCATCGGCACTGAGATCATTTTCTTCACAAGCTTGTTTGCTAGCCAAACATTATGCTGTGCACCAAAGCAGACCAAGTCATCTCACATCAATGTGATAAAATTGTGTCAGTTACAATATATTTAGACACTCTACCCAACAAATTAAGCATCAAGCATCATTTTCCTGCATTCTGCAATTCTTAAATGACAACAAATTGAAATATCTAAATTGGCTGAGTACAATTTTGTAGTCCAGTTGATCTACTACAATCAACAATAGAAGCCAAGATGCAAGGAATCTGAGTGCAGCATCAGAAGACAGGCAGATGATATAATAAGAAGAGTTAGTCTTTCCTCAAGTTCACCAAAAATAAACAAAATTCTCCTTGTAAGGTTATTCAAAGTACATCGAAGACGATATACTTGATCAGGTCAAACATAGCTTATAATAATGCAATCATATCCTAGTTGTTAATTTCATCAAACATAGATATACAAAGGAAGCATCGTTCACTCTCATACCCCAACTAGTTCAAACTTAGTTAAGTGGAGAACTTGATAGAACTAGGAGAGCCACAGCATTTAAATATAGAATCCCCCTACATATATATATATATATATAATGTTTCTTTTATTTGTTCTCTCTCTCTCTCTCTCTCTCTCTCTCGTGTATGACTGACTACATGTATGTGGTCAACAGAAGTACCAACTATGGTAAACAATGATGATGAATTTAGAAGGTCAAATTTCTAAGATAGTATGGTAGGATGGGCACATGCATAGTCTTGAGAAAATCATTTCCATATGCAGCAGGAAAGGCCCAAGAAAAATAAGGAGCAGGGCACAGAAAAACAGCTCCCATGTATGTATATTTCCTAATTCTATTCAATTCATATTTTATAAAAATCATGCATTTCATTGGGAACACCAGTTATCAGGCACTGAATGCATGTTAGAGGTTCAGCACAGAAGTGAATTAATCCTCAAAATCTACAAGACTAATGCAGACAGCAAATATGAGATGTAGACTAATGCAGCAAATATGAGAGTATTAGTAGCAAATATGAAAAGTAATCATGAAATGTGCTGTTCATCATATTACACTTTCTAGTGAGATGTAGACTAATGCAGCGAGGCAAAATAGTACTGTTAATGAAGTTAATTTGAATAATAGTGATTAGTGACCATCCATCCAGGCAGCCACTTGTTAATACATGAAAAGAAGTGGAAAATTTCATGATGCTGCAAAGACAAATTTTGCAAGTGTATGACTGACTACATGTATGTGGTCAACAGAAGTACCAACTATGGTAAACAATGATGATGAATTTAGAAGGTCAAATTTCTAAGATAGTCTGGTAGGATGGGCACATGCATAGTCTTGAGAAAATCATTTCCATATGCAGCAGGAAAGGCCCAAGAAAAATAAGTAGCAGGGCACAGAAAAACAGCTCCCATGTACGTATATTTCCTAATTCTATTCAATTCATATTTTATAAAAATCATGCACTACATTGGGAACACCAGTTATCAGGCACTGAATGCATGTTAGAGGTTCAGCACAGAAGTGAATTAATCCTCAAAATCTACAAGACTAATGCAGACAGCAAATATGAGATGTAGACTAATGCAGCAAATATGAGAGTTAGTAGCAAATATGAAAAGCAATCATGAAATGTGCTGTTCATCATATTACACTTTCTAGGGAGATGTAGACTAATGCAGCGAAGCAAAATACTACTGTTAATGAAGGTAATTTGAATAATAGTGATTAGTATCCAGGCAGCCACTTGTTAATTCATGAAAAGAAGTGGAAAATTTCATGATGCCGCAAAGACAAATTTTGACTGGAATTTAAATTTGTAAGCAAGATTCTAAAAGAGAGTTAGTGTGCCTCTTACCAAATGCCCCCTCCCCCTCTATGTTCCTAACTAAAGAGAAACTCCTTTTTTTTACCTCATCGCCACCCTCTAAAGTCTTATTGCGCTGTGCTTAATTATGGTCTCAATGCACCATAGGGATTGAAACCATAATACCTCCACAACCCCACATGTTTTCGAACCTAGGCACTCATGGGGAATCTCTAAGGCACCTGTGCTAGTGCATTTGCCTGAATGTGCTCAACGCACCCCCCTTGGCTCACTCAAGCGTGTTGTCTCTACCACTTGCGATTACATGCTCGGCACTCTCAGTCCAGTTGAGTGACTCTCCACCCAAACATGTCCCTCCTATACCTCATTTTCTTGTCTCCAATGTTATCTCCAAATGGTTCCGATGCTCTCACACTAACTTAAATTGGAAGTAGAGTCCACGGACCCCCACAGAGTTGGTCCAATGGTCATGAGGGGCTAAGTGGCCTCATGATCCTTGTGTAAGAACTCTGGAGGCATGCGGCTCAGTAGATAAAGTTGAGGATTTGACAGTGTGTTCATTTCTCTTGAGGGACTTGCACTAACGCATTGAACAGTTTAGGGTGACAAACCACTAGAAGACATACTCCAAATCATGACAAACATGTGGTGTGTTCCTTACCTCTTCACGTGTGTGGCCGCAAGAAAATTTTGTAAATGTAGCCAATACAGAGGGCACCCGTTCCTTACCTCTTCACGTGCCTACAATACTTCCCACACAACTAGCCTACTCGCCCTCCTTTACCTCGCACAATCAAAGCTGCTAGTTGCCATACCTATTATAATGCTCACAAACCTTTCCACCCAAGCTTTATCCTTGATATTACATTTAAATAGATGATAACATAACCAATCTTGAAATTTACTTCCATTGACTTTAAATCTTCCATTCAGGTTTTAGTCTCGTCATCTGTGTCATCAATTCTAAAAATTTGCTCAGCACAGGATTACTTAATAATGAGGATAATGGTTTTCTTTAATAAGGTCAGATTTCAAAATATCTGCTTGATTCATATAGTTACCATCTAATATTGTCAGATACAAAGTCTCGTCCCAGAACTAACCCCTGAAAACTTGTCTAAGTTAGAAACTGCATCCAACTGGTGGTTGACTGTTTATGCACTGTATTTTTTGTTCCTCCACACTATAAGAAATAAAAGAATGCTGCAAATCACCCCTTAAACTCCCAACAAAAAACTAAGAACTTTTATACCCAACATGTAAAAAGATAACCCCAATTTTACAGTCTGCCAAAAACTGTTCTAAAGCATAGTCAAACATATTAAGGAGTTGATGGGTTTCAGTTCCTTTGTTGATTGAAGTAACAACATAAGATGATATGTATAAAACAAGACGGCACGAATGGAATTTTTTCTGATACCTTTCTAACATATTCTCATCTGAGCTTTTTTTTGCTAGGTTCGCTTCAGTTGTAAAACTAGGCTGTAGAATTTCAGACTCTTCAGCAGCTGGCGGATTATAGATGAATGATGACAGCAATGGATCGGCATCCATATCAGAGGAAGAAACCACACAAGAAGACTCCTGAACAAAAGAATCCAGATATTCATCCTGTGAATTCTTCCTTAATAAAGATAGGGTTGAACGAGATACACTGTTGCGCAGTTTCTTTTTGTACAAAGCGTAAAATTTAGTCAAGGAATTCAAAGGATAGCGTCTACTCATCCATAATACAAAAGATATTTATAACTAGAAAAACGGTAAGTAAAAGTGAGATCTTAAGAAACATGATGTGATGAAATAAAAAAAAAGAAGAGGATAATGAAATTTATTTATAAAAAAAAAAACCTTTAAAAAAAAAAAGAAATAGAAATTTATAGGTAAAAGGACTTCATTGACATTGGACTTAAAAATGAAAACAAAAATTAAAAAAAAGTGATGTTACATAAATGACAAGCAACATCTTTAGTCAAGGAATTCAAAGGATAGCGTCTACTCATCCATAATACAAAAGATATTTATAACTAGAAAAACGGTAAGTAAAAGTGAGATCTTAAGAAACATGATGTGATGAAATAAAAAAAAAAAGAGGATAATGAAATTTACTTATAAAAAAAAAACCTTTAAAAAAAAAAGAAATAGAAATTTATAGGTAAAAGGACTTCATTGACATTGGGCTTAAAAATGAAAACAAAAATTAAAAAAAAGTGATGTTACATAAATGACAAGCAACATCGATCGATATACAAAACAAAGCACAACAGGAGAAATGAAAATTTGACTATGAAGACATCATTAGCCAATCAGTTTCAACCAACTATATAATTCAGTGTGTATGAGGGTGTTTCTATCTGTGCACGTGTGAAGCACACACCAACCCATATCACAACAAACCACAAAGATCTTGACTGCCAAATACCAATATTCATTTAATTACATTACAAGTTTCCTGCAACTTTTGCCAACGGAACTTGAAAAAAAACAAAAAGAGGCAAAAAGAAAAGTGATCAGTGAAGCTAGATAAGGAAATATCAAGCATCTTAGCTTCGTGACTTTACTACTTGAATGCAGCATCAATTTCAAATTTCAAAATTCAATGTTTTTGACATGCACAAGATGATACTTTAGGAGCAAAAGGCATATGAAGGAGAATCACTAGAACATTCAGTAAATAACAACCATCTCTATAAACAATGAAAGACATAAACTACTTGCTAATACCAGATATTTTAATTCGAATAGAATTTCATAACCATCTCAACAATTCACTTTTCAGAATAGACAAACTGTTACGCAAACAAATCATTTTCTGGGAGCATGCGGCATGTGAATGGGCATAATCGGTAAGCCAAAAAATCTGAATGACACAAATAAAGCTATAACTAATTTGAGAGAAAAATATAAAGGATATTTTTAAGATGCTTCCATGTTGCGTGATAATGTGCACAGCCATATTGATCCCCACCTTTTTTGCACAAATGGGACAGATCTGCAGACATGAAGAACCCTCACATAAACAAGGTTTATTTCAGAAAGCAACAAATAGAGTTGGTGTAAAGAGAGAACAATACAGAATTAGCAGTAAATTCATATGCATTAGCTGGTTAAGGTTTAATTCACAAACAGTCATGCCCATCAAATAAACCCATTTTGAATAAAAAATCAATTGATTTCCAAATTAAGAAGGATATTGGATTAATCCATTCATGACTTCTCATTTCATGTCTAAACTAGAACTATTAGGGATGAATTCCACCATAATTTTACCAACTTTGCTCTAGACCCCTCCTAAATTACCCATTTTTTTTACCAACTACACACATGGGACATAGGGAACAAGAGCAACGTGGCTTTTGGGAAGGGCAAGCTGCGCCGACTCACACTTGATAGTTTTCACACCTGTGTTAACAGGTAACAAAAATACCAGCAGAGAAAACTTAAAAGCTAAGAAGGTGTCCAATAGAAACCCATATTCATGTTTGTTCTTTTATATACATATATATACAAAAATTTGAGCCTTGTATTTTTGTAAATATAATACACACGTATGCATAAATAATAATACTAAGATCTCTTACAAACAAGAAATTAAAGTGGGAAGTAATAATATTACCCCAGACTTGGCCTCAATGGGATGACCATCATCGATGTGGCAGCAGAATCCAACAAGGTCGAAATCATCCAAACAAAATGGGCAAACGTAATCAGTCTTCAAATCATCGTCTTCCTCATCACTCTCATCTTCTATATCAATATGAAGATCTACTTCCATCAATCAACACCATTCACTCACCAGTTCAGTTTATCAAAGTATAAACATTTACATGTATACAAACAATCAATGAAAAACAAAATACAAAAAATACAGATTGTGTGTATTTTGGTTTCAAGTAGTAGTACTCACCCATGGTGTGATTTGAAGAAGTAGATAGAACAAGGTAGCGCTCATCATCCATTGCAATTTCACCCAAGATTTTCTGATAATTCTGTACAAATTTACAAACAGATTTATGTACAGAGAGGAATATAAAATTTGTCTAGGGTTTTAGAAATGCTCTCTCTCTCTCTACAAAATTTAAGGGAAAATTAGACGGAGAGGGAGAGAGAGAGAGCATTGAAAAACCTACTCTGAAAAACAGGGGAAGAAGTATCGAAGCAATTTCGGGTCGTGACTCGGATCCTTCGTGGGCACGGATTCTTGTTCAGAAAATAACCATGGACTCCCGCGTAATTTCGGATACTACCCTCCACTCCACCCGGACAAGACAACCACTTACACCGACCTTACTCGGATTATGTGACTTTCGGCACACACCTCAATTTCTAGAAACGCATGAAGAAATTATCATATGATTCAAATTTATTTATTTTATGTATAGGTTTTATAACACGTGAATTAAATTTAGATAAATTTAATTATCATAAAATAATATGATTTAAATCTATAAAATAAATTTTTAAATATTTTTGTGTGTACAAATTTTAGATATTTTATTTTTGGATAAATTATAAAAACGTCACTTGAGATTTATTAAAAATATGATTTATTCCCTATGATTTTTAAAATTATATCTTGTCCTTTGAAATTTTTAATTTTATAATAAATAATTTTTTTTAAATAAATTATCAAGTCAATTAATAATTTAGATAATTTTATCATTATATATGAGAGTGAGAGGGAGATTAATGATATGGAATTGGACCGGACAGATTTGGGCCCGACAGAGTTGGGCCGGACAAATTTAGGTCGGACAGAGCTGTGCCAGACAGATTTGGGCCGAACAGGTATTGGGCCAAGTTGTGTGGCCCGGCCTTGAAGGAAGCTGCTCGGTTAAGGCAGCGCGTGGATTAACCGAGCTGCAAGGATCCGTGGTTACGAAGCCGGTCAGGTGAAAAGTCCAGCGCCAGGAAAGACAAGGCTGGACCGAGGTACCTGTTTGCTCGGCAGGTAGGTCGACTGCAGACAAGCGTGAGTTGTCCCGAGCTCGGCTTTGCCGATATGCCGCCGAGTCTGGTCCTCATTTGAGCTTAGCTGTTGGAGTACTTGGACATGAAGCGCAGCATGGCAGACGATGGCAGACGATGGCCGAGATGGCACTGCCCGGCTGCCGAGCTCCCAGGAGAATGGGCAGGCAGTTGGGTTAGGTGGTGCTCAGCAAGGTTTATGTTGACAGATGGGATAGCAATGCCACGTATTGAGAGGTCACTGGGAGTAGATTTGGGGCGCAGAATGTATATAAGCACGTCTGCGCCCCCCATACGTGGGCGGATGAACATTTGGTGAGACATGCACTAAACATAATTCTCTCCCTTCTCTCTATCTATCCCCTGGTGTGTGTTCTAACTTGACCGTCGGAGGGGTTTTCCAGCCACACACCGCCGGGTAGCTCACCGCCTTTGTGTACGCAGGTGATCGGATAGAAGCGGAGCTTAGAAGAAGGGAGTACGGGCTTGCCTGAATATTCTCTCCCCGTACAATTGGCGCCGTCTGTGGGAAACTTTGCAGATAAAACCTTGTCTTCCAAGCTCATCCGATCGCTTTCTATGGCGAACAACGAAGAGATTCCGCTGTCCGCCATCGATGGAGCCACTCCGAAGTCAGGCAGACGGAGAGAGGGACACCCCACCATTACTCCGATGGGGGACTTGGAGACATTCCCAGGAGGACGGTCGGGAGACGCGCGGGATAAGCGTGGAAGAAGTCATGGTCATTCACGGAGTCCAGACGGTCACCGACGGAGGAGAGACTCATACGCCAGACGTCTGGAAAATAAGCTGAAGGACCAGGACGCCGTCATCCGGCGGAGATGGAGGAGCTGAAGCGACATGTCAAAGGGAAGGGTGTAGCTGGAGTGGGAGACCACAGTGAGCGCACCTAACCCCGCCGTTCAGGTAGTCATAGTCAACGGCACACACCGTCCATCTCTATTACCAGAAGTTACAAGGTTGGTGATTCCGATGTGCGCGCAGAGAAATCCAGTTCGCAAGATAGTACTTACTAGCCCTCACGTCCGGCGACGACGTCGAGGTACACCTATTTCGCTCGATCAGAAGATTTGCGGACAGTCTTGGAGGAACGGGCTCACCGGCGGGAGGCACAGAGGATACCGGCTTTCCAGCGGTTATCCTACGGGGTTCACGCCAACGAGGAGGTCGGAATGCCTCCACCCCGCCTAGCTGCGCCACTCCTTGTGGATTCCGACTTGGCAAGGTTGAGCGCCACCCCTTTCTCCTTGGAAATAGAAATAACATCGCTTCCGGCAGGCTTCCACCAGCCAAAGTTCACGCTTTACAATGGAAAGACCGATCCTTACATGCATGTAAGCCACTTTCGACAGGTCATGACCGAACATAGGCAGAATGATGCTCTTATGTGCCTCATCTTTCCGTCAAGTTTGGGCGAGCTGGGCTTGAAATGGTTTGAGTGGCTGCCGGAGGGGAGTATTGAGAGGTGGCATCAGTTGGCCGAAGCCTTTGTGACGCGCTTCAAAACCAACACTAAAACACCTAAAGAACCTGCTGAGTGTCAAGATGGAGCCGAGCGATACATTGAAGGCATACAACTCCAGATATTGGGAGACTTTCAACGAGATCTTGGATTGCCCAGTCAACCTTGCAATCACTCAGTACAAGCGAGGCCTCCCAGTCGGACATAGACTGCGGGACTCACTTACCATGCACCAGCTGACGTCCATGGGCCAGCTAATGCAGCGCATCAATGAGAACATCTGAGTAGAGGATGATGCGTCAACAGCTACCGCGATGGCGACTCCGATGGCAATAGACAAGAGGTCAGCTAGCAAAGTGCACGTAGCTGGACAAGAGTCCAGCCGATCAAGTGACCGTGCTGAGGAATCGGACCGTGGCTCAAATTGTAAAAACCGGGGTAGGGGTCGTCGGAATGACCAAGATGACTACCCCCGGGATGATGTGGCCGACGCAAACAGAAGATTGAAGGCTAGGACGGGCATTACCACGGTCTTCAAAATTCCGATCTATCGCATACTTAGTGAAATCCGTGACGAGGAGTACGTCCGATTTCCTGCTAAGTTGGGCGACGGTCAGAAGGGCTTCAATTCGCGGTACCGCTGCACGTTTCACAGGAAGCGCGGCCACCGGACAGAGGATTGTTTGCCTTTGAGGCAACACTTGGAAGAGTTAGTCGCAGCCGGACACCTGGACCTTTACATTGATGGAGGTGTTAAGGCGAATCAAGCTCCGGTTGATCCGCGAGGACCGGATGACCGTGATGCACCCCCACAAGGAGTTGTTAATGTCATTCACGGCATAATGGAACCGGCGCGGGTATGCGAGCTCCGGGGTATGATAAAGAAGGCAGAACACATGAGGGAAGTCTTGTCGGTTCAGTCTGCAATCAAGAGGGGGAAGACCGAAGAAAGAGATGTGCTCAGTTTCTCCTCGAGGGATCTAGAACGCATTCAGACACCGCACAACGGCACCTTAGTAGTGACGCTCCGCGTCAAGGAGTTTGATGTCAAACGGATCTTGATCGATCAGGGAAGCTCGGTCGAGATCATGTACTACGATGCATTCAAGCAGCTTAAGCTCCGTGATACAGACTTGGCTCCGGTAACTTCGCCCCTGGTCGGTTTCAACTCACAACCGGAGTGGCCTTTGGGAAAGATTATCCTGCCGGTCAAAGCGGGATCCGTAGTCAAGCAAGTGGAGTTTTGGTTGCTGCAAGTACCATCCACTTATAACCTGATCCTTGGAAGGGGATGGCTTCACGCGATGCAAGCCGTGGCGTCGACCCACCATCAGGTAATAAGATTCCCCTTGGCTATGGGGGCAATCGAAGAAATTTAGGGAGATCAAGTCATGTCAAAGCAGTGCTTCGTGGCGGTCAACGGGAGCCGGGCTGCCAAAGGCTTTGTTCAAATGATAGAAGGACCGGGAGACCAGGGAGTTCTTGAGGATGTGGGCACCAGGGCAGAGGACAAAGCCGTTGAGGAATTAGTGGAAGTGTAAATTGATACAGAGCATCCAGACAAGTTCTTCCTTCTCGGCTCCAGCCTTACTACCCGAGAAAGGACTGAAATGGTGGAGTTTTTGGTGGCCAACATCGAGATCTTCGCATGGTCGCCTTACGACATGCCCGGCCTTGATCCAAGTTTTATCTGTCATCACCTCAATGTCTTCCCCAGAGCAAAGCCGGTCATTCAGCGAACAAGGAGGTCAGCGTTACATCACGCCGAGGTAGTTGTGGAGGAAGTGAAAAACTTGCTCGAGGCACGAGCAATTCAGGAAGTGCACTACCCTAGGTGGATTTCCAACACCGTAGTGGTGCCTAAGAAGAATGAGAAGTGGCGAGTTTGTGTCGATTACAAGACAGTCAACCAAGCTTGTCCGAAAGATAGCTTCCCTTTGTCTCGCATTGACCAGCTTGTGGACTTGACGGCTGGACATAATAGGCTCAGCTTCTTGGATGCCTATCGCGGCTACTATCAGATTGCCATGCATGGGCCCGACCGAGAGATCACCTCCTTCACGACTCTAAGGGGACTCTTCTGCTACCGAGTTATGCCTTTTGGTTTGAAGAACGCCGGGGCAACCTTTCAGAGGATGGTGACTAAGATGTTTGCTCCGATGCTTGGCCAGACAATGGAGGCTTACATTGATGATATGGTGGTTAAAAGCCGGCATCAAATAGACCACTTGTCTGACTTGGCCGAGATGTTCGCCATTCTCAAAAAACACAAGCTACGCTTGAATGCGTCAAAGTACGCCTTTGGTGTGGGGTCCGGAAAATTTTTGGGATTCCTAGTCACGAACCGAGGCATAGAAGCAGACCCCTCTCAGATCAGAGCCGTGTAGGAGTTGAAACAGCCCAGCTCAGCTAAGGACGTGCAGTATCTGGCCGGAATGGCCGCCGCGCTTAATCAATTTATAAGCCGGTCATCAGATCCCTGCCGCCCTTTCTTTCAGGCATTGAAATCAAAGTTCTCATGGGATAAAGAGTGTGATCGGGCTTTGGCCGAGCTCAAGGAATATCTATCTTCTTCGTCAATATTGGTTACACCAAAGTCAGGCGAGGAACTCTATCTTTACCTTGCCGTCTCACAGCATGTAGTCAGTGCGGTGCTAGTCCGAGCTGAAGGAATTAAGCACCTCCCAATCTTCTACGTCAGTAAAACCTTGCTGCCGGCAGAGTCGAGATACTTGCCGTTGGAAAAGCTTGCGTTGACATTGATGATGGCTTCAAGGAAGTTGGCGCACTATTTCCACGCCCATACCATCATCGTAC